TTTTGGAACTGCAAAACTAAGAATCACAGGGGAGAGCTGCGGGGGGGGGGGGTGAGTCAGAACTTGCAAGGCAGCGTGCTGACACTCTCCCCACACTCCCTGTCACACTCCACCCCCCCCCTTTTGAAAAGCACGTTGCAGCCACATGAATGCTCGGATAGCTGCCCATAATGCACCGCTCCCAATGCAGCTGCAAACGCTGCAAATGTGGCCACGCCAGTGCGCTGGCAGTGGTCAGCATGGACAGACTGCAGCGCTTTCCCTACTCAGCTGTACAAAGGTGGGTTTAACTCACAGCGCTGTACAGCTGCAAGTGTAGCATACCCTGTATTTGTATTTCTCGCTACTGTGGGCTTTGGAACTTACTTTTGTATTACTGATATGATCTGTGGGATTCATCTGCACGGAGCTTGTAAAAAGCTGAACAAGACAAAACACAGTTTTAAAATTCCAAATGTTGGTATATATTAAGTATAGGTCACTAAATATATGGGTGTAAATATTTTACTATACTTTATTAACTGTTTATATTATAGAATCTGAGCAGGACTGGGTCCCCTTTTAAAAGTTTGCCATTTTGTGCAAAACGTTTGCTAAGGAAAAGCCTAATTGTGGAGTAGAACTGCTATGTTTTGAGACTGCAGGGCACTGGTAACGCCCACACCATGGCAACGTCTGTACCATATCTAGCTCAGAACATTGCTGTATGTTAGTCCTCCAGTTTCAGAAACATCATATTCAGAAAAGTGTGAACTGCCAAACAGCTGACCAGTTAGAGAGGAATGATACAAAGGAATAATAAAAAGAACAGGAATACTTGTGGCATCTTAGAGACTAACAAATTTATTAGAGCATAAGCTTTCGTGAAATTTGTTAGTCTCTAAGGTGCCACAAGTACTCCTGTTCTTTTTGCGGTTACAGACTAACACAGCTGCTACTCTGAAAAGGAATAATAGGTAAGAGAACTAAGGACCGGTGGACTGAAACTGCAGTCACCTCATTCATTTGAATTATGAATGTGGCAAAAAAATTCCACTCTTCTCTACCCCGCTGCTTAACTTTGAAACTTTTCATTTGGAAATTAAACCTATGAACACTAACATAGAATTCACAATTGTACAACGTCTGCCTGGGCATGCATAGGTTTTTCCCTGAACAGCACACTTTTCAATATATACGGGCGGACACCAGCCACTAAAACTGGATCTCCAGTCACCTTATTCCCTTCTGTTTCCTCCTCTCCAAGTGTGTCATTTTCAGGCACAATTCGGAACCACTAGAATACATACTCAGTTCAAAATTTTGTGGCCCAGTATACACTTGGCCCTTGAGAGTCTGATAAAGACTCAGATCAGAGTCCCTGCTTCCCCATTTACGAAGCGGGTCCTAGAACAGTGGTTTTCAAGCTTTTTTTCTGGCAACCCAGTTGAAGAAAATTGTTGATGCCCACGACCCAACGGAGCTGGGGATGAGGGTTGGGTCAGGAGATTGGGGTGCAGGAGGGGGTCAGGGCTCTGGGCTGCAAGCTCTGGGGGTGGGTCCAGGGATGAGGGGGTTTGGGTGCAGGAAAGGGCTCCAGGTTGGGGGGGGGTGCTCAGGGCTGGGGCTGGGGATTGGGCCAAGGGCTTACCTCTGGCGGCTCCCGGTCAGCGGCGCAGCCAGCATGCAGTGGCAGGCTTCCCGCCTGTCCTGGCACCGCGAATCCGCGCTGCGCCCCAGAAGCGGCCAGCAGGTCTGGCTCTTAGACGGAGGCACGCAAGTGGCTCCACGCAGCTCTTGCCTGCAAACACTGCCCCCCCAGCTCCCACTGGCCGGAGTCAGTGCTCAGGGCAAGGGCAGCGCATGAAGCTCTGTGGCCCTGCCTACGACCTGGACCTGCTGCTGGCCACTTCTGGGGTGCAGTGTGGGGTCAGAACAGGTAGGAACTACTAGTTTTTACTGGCCGGCTGCCAGGGTCCCTGCGTGCTGAGCAAGGTGATCCACTGCCTTGCATTCCACGACCCAGTATTGGGTTGCGACCCAAACTTTGAAAACCACTGTGCTAGAAAAATCTACCTCATGGATCAGGCCTGAAGCCAATCTTTTGTTCCCTTATCCACTTTTGGCCAACTTCATGGAAGTACACATGCAGTTCTAGTCAACAGCACCAGTTCTTCTACTAAACATACATAAATTGGTGTAGCAGTTAAAAGAGCAAGCACTTCAGGGGCATTTGAAGCACTACACCAGTACTGAAGCATGCACTACTCTGTGTTTCCTTCCTCCCCCACTCCCACTTTTTTTTTTTTTTAATATAAAAAGGGAACAAAATTAACTGCCACATTTGTCCATGTGGCACAGCTAAAGAAATAAGCATCAGGAAATACAAGAGATTTCTACAGTAATATTAATTCTGCTATTTTGAAGACCGAACCTTTGCATAGTGGTTTCCTTGTTATAAAGGCTGTGTGTTAACATTTTTAGTATGCAATATACAGGATGAGCAATAAGACTAAATTATAACTCTAGAAATGTTTGAGTCTTCTGATTTTAAATTTTATAATTGTGCAGGCTTTATAAAAAGGTGCATGAACTTTTTTGAATTAACATTTTAAATTAAGCTTTAAGATATCCTCTTGAGAAATGTGTATTTGCATCCTCAATGATCTTGTTCATTACAAAATAAAAAAAACAGAGGAAGTTACTAGAAATACATACATCAACCAGAAGATCTGGGTCTATGCTGAACTGTCGTCCTGACAGCATGGCTTGGAAGTCCTCTAAACTGCAATCAATACTGTCAAGATAATCCAATAGCTCAACTCTGGAAGATAGAAAAGAAAGAGGATTTTGTGTTCTGAAATAGCCATGACACTTCTACTGACAAGGTGAAAAAAAATCACCCGTTGGAATAGATATATGCAACAGTACCATCATCACTGCTTGTTTAAAACTGCACTGGCAAGTGCTGACAGGATATTTCTCTCTGCCTGGTGTCAAACAGTTAAGAATGTCTGACAGGATTGTCAATTTATACATCTGACATTCACAAATCAATTTTTTACATTGTGACAGCACAGGAAGGCAACAGGCTGTGACCCATTCGCAAAGCTGCTGTCTCCACAATAAAGAAGAGCAGAATTCACTTTCAGTTAATTAGAATTATTTTTAAAGCTGGAAGTAGATCCTTTTATATTACAAGGTAACAGTACAAAGTGTTTGCATATGGGGATTAAACGGAAGAATGCACAAATGATTCATAAGACAATTAAAAAAAATTCCACCAGCAAGTGCTGATTGCAACTAACATTGTAAATAAGTTATTTCCTCTGCTATACAATATATATCCTAAAGACAAAATGTAGTAGCCTTTAGCTTGTTTTAACTTAAACCATTAAAAAAAAACCATCACACCTTTAGAGTGCAATAATAAAGGTCTGTCAGAGGCTTTAAAGAAAAAAAAAACCAACCAATCCTTAAGGTGACCTTGCAGGGAGGGAGGGACTGATTTTGTGCCCTTGTTTGATTTTTTTATGATACCTAAAGAGGGCCTGAAAGAGCAAAATACACATTACAAAGACGTTTCAAATTTAAGATTCAGATTGTGTCTATCTAGGCTGGAAGTCTATGACCAGAGAACCAGTAAAATACCCTCATCACAAAAGTAAAGAAAGTGCAAATATAGCATTTGTAAAAAGGGAATCTTAGACTAATAAACAAATAAAAATTTTAAAATGTCACCTATTTAACTGAAGTAACATTTTGGATAAAGGAAGTCTTTAATTTTAACAAATACCTCCACTGTTCAAATTAAGGTGCAAGAGGTAAATATTTTTAAGACCTCCCAAGAGCAGCCCTCCAGCAAAAACAGGGAAGACCAGGATTCCTGATATTTCTATGATCAAACACATGTAGGACAATATTTAAAAATACTGTTCAGAACTTCTTTATATATAGTATTCCGCATTTTCAGTTTTTAAACCCATTTTCACCAAGTTACCTTTTTTTTTTTTTTTTTTTAATGAAAGGAGTTCAGGTTTTACTGATTAACACATGTATCAATCCAATCCACTCAATTCTCCCTCCCTCCAGTACTTATTTTTGTTAAACACTAATGCTTTACACGATTGTTATGTCCTACAGCTCTGAGATTGAAGCAGTTCTGCAGGGTAAAACACAGCACGCACACAGTGAAGGTCAGAAAAAAACAATGTTAATATTGTGCTAAGATGTTGCCTGCCTATTTCTTTGCTTCTATTTAGTGCGGCACGAAGTTTAAACCATCTATCCTCCACAGATAAAGAGAAGGTAAAAAAGGTAAACATGGGGTAAAAACACAAATATATGCCTGAATATCAACAAGAAAATCAGTGCTTAGAAATTTTCAAGAAGAGTAAAGATGGAAGGGAAGAGGATGCATTGTGCTGCAAGGACTACAGTACTGAGGTCAGGGTTCATGCTGACAGAATAAAGGAGCATGTTGAAAGCGAACGACAAGAAGCTTAAAGGAAGTGAGCGTCCGGATAAACAGTCAATATCAGGAGCTTTCACCAAGGCTTCCATGAAAGAGAAAAGAGACAGCACAATTATGTCAATGAATTTGTGCATGCTCTTTGTTTCACTGGACAACCGCTGTTAATTGCAGAGGGGCCTGCTGGTGACTATGTGACAATACTGTCCACAGCAGCAAAAACCCTTCCTAATGCAGACAACCTCACTCATAAGTATCTAAAAGAAAAATGACAATGCTTTAGTGTATAAACACATGGAATGAATTGATGGAAACGTGGTGTCTACATTGATTTTTGACAAGTCTGATGCTTTGGCCTATCCAATTCTTGGCCTTTTGTTTTTGTTTTTTTTATTTCACTGACATGTTTGAAATGTACCAACAAATGTTGGAAAATGTGGCCACAATAAACACAGATTCTGCTTCCGACATGGCTAAGTTTGCATGGGAGATTAAACTCAATCGGAAACCGGAGCAGCTACGTATTACCTGTCCTGCTCATCTGACTACCGTTGTTCTGTCAGCAGCTACTGCTACAGAAGAAATGAAGGACGTGAAATCTTAGATCACTGGATTTGGGGCCATTTTCAAAAATGCGAACAAGCTGAAGACTTTGCTTTACATAGTGCGAAATGAGTGCAGAGCTGACTGCGGATTACCTACTCCTGCTGTGCCACATCGGTGAATGAGCTTGTACTTCACTGCTTGTCATGTAAATAATGTGTGAACTGTGCTAATGTGTCTCTAGATTATCCTGAGTTTGTTGGTTCTAAAGCAGACACACTGAAAAAACTGACAACCAAAATGACCACCAGATTCTAGAAGTGGGCTGTAGTCCACGAAAGCTCATGTTCTAATAAATTTGTTAGTCTCTAAGGTGCCACAAGTACTCCTGTTCTTTTTGCGGATACAAACTAACACGGCTGCTACTCTGACACCAGATTCTGTGCACCCAGGCAATGTTTGTTGTTGAAAACTTGGAATCACTGTGGAACACTCAGAAAACACTGGAGTTTTCTGCGACTACTGCCAACGTGTTTGCTAATACAGATGTTTACTAGATCCTGATGATCAAAATCTCAGCTGAATTGAGCACAAAAGCTGCAGGAGAAACATACGGTGAGAAAACCCTGCTGTTTCTGGAAATCCTTCTGATTCTGGAACCTGAGAAAAATAAAAAAAACAGTTCAAAGCCTTCACAGTACTCAGCGAGAACTGGGAGACGACCGTGGCCATAATTTGAACCCTGAAGTGTTTGGTGCCAAAGATTCTTTTTGGAATGTCATACAGGTGTTGCACCCCCTTTCTCAAGGTTAATTTTGCAATAGACTACGACCATTATGCCAGAGAGTGTTCCAGCCATTTGCTTCTAAAGATGACATTTCAAATCTGAAAGGGGACTTTACTACTGACATAAATGTGCCTAACCCTGACAGTGTGAAACTGGATGTACTGGCTTTTTGGAAAAGTCATCAAGACACTTCCCAACTTCAGCAAAGTGGCACGGTAAGCTTTGAGTGTGCCCCCTGGATATATTGGTGAAGAGTGCTCATTTGCAAAGTTGGCCTACCTCCAAGACAGGAAGAGGCTCCACATGAGTGAGGATACTTCGAAGAAAATTATGCGAGCATACCTAACCCAGGATTTCTGGAAAAACTACTAGCTCTGAGAAAAGCAAAAAGCATCTTTGTACATAAAAAAAGTTTCAGTTATACTGTAGTAAAATGTGCATATTATGAAAGGTTTTTTTTGTTTTTCCCTTTCTCCAGATTTTTTTGTTATTGTTTTTAAAAAACAATTTCATCTCTGTTTTAATGTTTGGAAAATAAACACCCAAAATTCCTGGAGTGTTTTTAAAATCAAAAAACAAACAAACAAACCTGAAAAATGTGGAACACTATTTATATGCCATAAAGCAGCAAAAGAGCACAAACTTTGAAGAATCCATTGCAGGGCCTCTAAGAGTCTTTCAGTGAAAACAGTTAAAGAGGCAGCTGATATGAAGGTATCAACTTTAATTTAGTCAATTGTTTTAAAAGCATCAAAGCTACTCACTTTCCAAGAAGGTTGATGTTCTGTGAAATTACACCATTCTCACTGAGTATGGAATCCATCATTGAGACAGGGTCTTCTGCAGTTAGAGTTGACTGGTTGTTCAGTTGAACAGCACTAGACATGAGGGGGCTTGCACTGTCACTGACAGGACTGAGGGGATCACTGGCTGGGATAGTGATTGGTTCGATATTTTTATCCCCTTGAATTACAGGGATGTTGTCATCCTCATTATCATCTTCTACAATTACAATATCAGGAGAATGACTACAGCTGCAATACATAAAACAGACAATAAACGGGTTAAACTCTGAAGAGGCAACAACTACCTCCTTCAAAGTCCTGCTGTAAGGATTAAATAGCTGCAAAGCACTTTGAATATGTAAATAGTGGCTAACTCTTTAGTTAAGGGAGTCTAGATTTCCAGTTTAAGGCCCATTTTAACCTCTCACCATCTCCTCAAATTTTGATGGCAGTAACAAAAACATGTTTAAGATACAGTAAAAAGAATCAAGAAATTGGAAAAATGAAGATTAAGAAGCTAACAACCATCTTTAATCAAAAATACTTGGTTTTAAAGTTTCCCTGTTGTCTTACATTTTAATACAACTTTCTCAGCAAAGTAGGTTAGAAGGACAATTCCAAGCTTCACATTCAGATGAAGCTTGTTAGGGGACAGTTATAGGGCATTTTCCAGGGATTAAATACTTCAAAATCATTATGGAATCTTAATTCTTCTGGACTGGAACTAGAAAGGCTGAAGGTATTAGGCTAGACAAAGCCAGTTTTATTTTGAGTCATGCCTGTTTGCTACTATTTTCTGATTCTGGAGGATTAAGTTTTACAGGACCAGGAGAAAAACAAAACAAAAAAATACTGAGAGGAATGCCAGTAGGTGGTTATGAGAGAAGGTGGGTATTAAGAATGGGAACTGAAGGGGCTGGTGAAGAAAAGCCAATCTTGTCATGGCTGATGAGCTTAATTAGGCTCATTGGGCAGTTTAAGCATTTAAGTCTCACAGATGCAAGGGCTAATAGAATCCTGGGAAGTGTACTCTTCTCCCCTTTTACTGCATTCTGATGCTCTCCTGGCCCTATGCAAAGGATCCCAGAAATGAAAAAACCCTGCCCCACAATGTCCTTCTAGCACCCACAACTCATTATTATGCAGCAGGTCACAGACAATGAAGCATCATTTCCCTCCATGATGCCAGGGAGAAAACACAACTTTCACAAGTGTTTAAAGTATTAAGGAAATGCCACACTTTTAAATGGGTATTTTTTTAAAAACTAATCTTCACTCTAAACTTACTGAATTTCTAATGCTCTTTTTAAATATATATAAAAAAATCTTATTGTTGTAGTTTAAACCCTTAAATTACTGATGTATACTCCCACTTAATGTCATTTTTCTGTGGGGAGTGAGGGGAGGAGTAAGCATCAATTTGCCAAAACCAAATCAGTGGTTTAAGTCTCAGACAACAAAATCTGGATTTCAAATCCATAAAGCATAAAATATACACTATTATGCAGTGTAAACCAAGGGTAACATTGGGAGACAATCCTTGAGCCAGAAGGACTGGGATGATCACCTGCTTGTACCTGAGAGTGTACTATAAACATAGGTGTGGACAACAGGTAACATATATAGCACAGAATTAAGGAGTAAAATGGGGAGAATGCACACAAGACTCCTCTTCAACTATAGAACTGAGAAGGCTGGAGGACTTCCAGTCTCTAAAAGAAATCAATGATGGTGGCGGCTTGCAGTCAGCAAAAAATGCCTGAAATGTTCAGAGGGCAACATTTACACTTGGCAGAGATAGCAGGACAGCTACCTTCAACAGCATAAAAAACATTAAACTAGGGGGGTTCCAAGCTTGTGCTAAGGAAGTAAAGACCAAGAAATGAGAATAGCATACAGATGGCACTTCTAGAAAAGTAGTATGTGCCCCAGTGATCCTTCATTTTTAAAATATTTTATTTTAGCTGAATTCTCATCCTAGCCACACTAAGCTACAACTGCTAAATTGTCCTGTGAAGCCAGGCCTGGAATGCAAAGGATTTGCATATGTATAGTAACTTTCAGTAACTTGCTTCCTTTACTGAAATTGAATTATACAAGATATATCTCAACTGTATTATGTAGATCTGAATTAGATTTTAAGGTTAGGATTTCCCTGTCTATACTGAACTGCTGAGTGCCTTCTGCACTCATACAAACATTTCTTACTTGGAAGAGTCTGACGTAGCATCCTCATTTGTTTCTGGAGTAATGGGAGCACTTTCTTCTTCACCCATATTATTTTCTTCCTCACCAATATCATCAGTGACATCATAAATAATTATGTCATCTGAAATCTGCTCCCTCTGCTCCAGTCCCTCAGTTCTGCTGAGTGGTACCTGAGAATTATAAAAGCACAACTACTATAAAGAAAAAGAACCAAATTTCCAAACTAAAAATCAGACCCAAATATAACACTTCAATTAAGAGCCTTAACTGAATACCTAATTTTTAAAAAAGTTCTAGATATCCTAGGAAAACCCTTAAGACACACGACACTTTTTCCACACAGATTTTTATTCATATTTTAATTATTTGGCATAAATAATTTTGTAACAGAACATTTAAACAATTAGGCATATAGCTGTAAATTTTGCTGAGTGATGAATTTATTTTGGGAAAGTAGTTAAAGATGATTATAACAGTTATAATCCAACCAAGGATCAGACAGTGTAAAACAAAATAAGCCAAAAACCTTGGAGAGTGATACAAAAATATATCAGCACTGTAAATCAACAAGAACAGTGTCACAACAAGAGCTGGAAATTTACACACACATTACAATGGAAACAGTTTAACTATGAATCCTAATCTGCCATGAAAGTAGTTCATTGGCATGCAGCTGCTATTCACTTCAGAACACTCTTCTCTCCCCCTTTTGCCTCACTTTTAGCTGATAAACACAGCACAACTACAGCCACTATAGGGCACTCCTGTTAATACTTGTTTACCTTTTTCCATCCCTCCAGTTGCCACATGAACAAATAATGTCCACTTCAAAATGAACTTACATGATGGTTTTTGTCAGCTGATTCTTTGACGATCTGCTGAAACATAGTAGACTTTGGAGGTCCATTGGTATTCAGAAGTAGTGGCCTAAATCAAAGGGGGGTGGGGGAGAGAAAGTCAGTTGCATGAACACTACTAAAGCATGAATAAGGTTTCTAAAGAGAAAAACAGCCCAGCAAAAGAAACCTGTATTAGCTGGTTAACATTTACAACATTCCTCCCCCCACCCCCCAATTCTGTACTTACCGTTTGCGTTTTAGACTCACTAGCTGGTTATTCTGCACCAGAGTAACAATGAACTGTACAATCTACAAGACAAGGAAGATAAGTAAACACTACCATGCCAGGTTTTGTCAAAAAACAAAAACAAAACAAAAAACAATGGTAGCCCACAGCAGTACAAACTACAAAGTTTACCATACTTAGAATCACAGACTTAGGAGGGACTGCAAAGGTCACCTAGCCTAACCCCCTGCCAAGATGCAGGATTTGTGCCTAAACCATCCAAGACAGATGGCTATCGAGTCTCCTTTTGAAAACCTCCAGTGAAGGAGCTTCTACAACCTCCCTAGGCAGTCTATTTCATTGTCTTACTGTTCTTACAGTTAGGAATTTTTTCCTAAGATTTAATCTAAATCTTCCACAAACGTAAGAGTCTTTGTTGAGGGACCTTGTCAAATGCTTTCTGAAAATCTAAGTACACTATATCCACTGGATCCCCTTGGTCCACATGCTTGTTGACCCCCTCAAAGAATTCTAGAAGATTGGTGAGGCATGATTTCCCTTTACTAAAAATCATGTTGACTCTTCCCCCAACAAAATTATGTTCATCTATATGTCTGACAATATTGTTCTTTATTATAGTTTCTACCAGTTAGCCCAGTACTGAAGTCAGGTTTACAGGCCTGTAATTGCCAGGATCACCTCTGGAGCCCTTTTTAAAAATTGGCATCACATTAGCTATCCTACAGTCATCTGGTACAGAAGCTGATTAAAATGATAGGTTACAGACTACAGTTAGGCAACTGATATGCTGTAAAAACAGTCAAACAAAATACTTTAAGAGGATTAATGTATTTTAAAACTAATTTTGTAATTAAATATTTTAAAATAAAAGTTCAATAAAGTATTTGCTTCTATAGCCTACCTACCACCAAATCTACTGATCTTCCTCTACAAAAGCAAAAACCCTATTCCCTGAGACCTTGGAAAATCCTGTCCACCATTGTAGCTTTTTCAGTTGACAACTATATCTTTAAATCTTTAACTACGTACTATATGGCTTAATTCAAATTAACTTTTTAATTGTATTTCATTTTGAGCATCAACAAACCATGTCATGTTGACATCAGCTAATAAGTGACCAAAAACATTACTTTGTTCCTAAAATGTATTTTAGAATTTAATCACTTGAAATGCTGCTAGTGCAGCAAGTTATTCACACAGAATTCTGCTGGGGAATTCTACCAATGGAGGCCATCTCCAAAACTGGGGAGGGAGGGAAGGAAGGAAGCCAATTTAGAGTTGCACTGGAGAGGGTTTTCCTAGGAAAGTAAAGAGGCAAACATGATGTCATCCCTGTAATCCTTCCGTGTCTTTATAGACTGCCACATGCTGAGTTAATGCTCATTTTACAAAGATTAAAAGATCTGGCTATTTTGAAGAAAACTAGATTTCACATAGCATAGTACTGAGGTAGTCAGAGTAAGGACAACATAAGTCATATGTGCACATAAAATAGATCTAATCAGACAGAAGCAGCTGTATAATCCACAAATGAAGTCTTACCTTTCGAATAACCTGTTGCTGCTGCAAGTGTTTTGCTCTCAATTCTGCCACTTCCCTCCAAAGAGATTCATTTTCCCTGTTTCAACAAAAGTGATTTAGAAAGCTAAACTCAAACTTAAGAAGCCCTTATTTTTTGTGAAACAGTATTAATGTAATACAGGCTCATAAAGACATTTCACAAAGCTATACATCCTTCCTATGAAGTACCATTGGCAGTAACCTTGGAAGAAAGTCACATAGCACAGAACTAGGGTGACCACACAGCAAGTGTGAAAAATCAGGACGGGGTGGGAGGTAATAGGAGCCTATATAAGAAAAAGACCCAAAAATTGGGACTGTCCCGATTTTATAGGGACATCTGGTCACCCTACACAGAACCCAAAGCAGCCCATGGGAATGGTCTGATTAGAGCTGGGCAAAATTTGAAAAAATAATTTGCCAGAAAATGCTATTTCGGTCAACACGAAGCTATTCACAATTCTGATGCAAATTACCTAAATAATTTCAGCCAGAAGCATGGGTGGCACCGATGCCTCTCCTGTAAATTTTAGCCTAGCAGTTAGGGCACTTGTCTGGGCTATTGGAGACTCCTCCAGTTCAGTTCCCCTTTCTGCCTGATGTGGATTAGGAATTTGAACTGCGGTGTGGAAGACCAGAGGAGAGTGCCCTAACCCCTGGGATACTGGACAACATGGAGTGGGCATGTCTCAACTCTCTTGTCAAAGCTGTTCCACTTTGTATAAGATACCTGAACAATCACCGGGCCAGAGACAGAGTGAGTATTCTTTAGCCTGGAGGTCAGGGCACTCACATTGACGGGAGACCACGTATATGTCCCTGATCCAATAATGAATTTATACACTGTGAAATAGCTTCAACAGGACAGACAGATCCACAACAGAATATGCAATAGCCTAGTGATAGAGCACTCTCCTGCAATACCCAAGACCCAGTTTCAAATTGCTTTTCCATATCAGGCTGAAGGGGAAATGAACCCATGTCTCCCAATCTTAGGTGAGTGCCCTAGCCACTGACAGCTAAAGGTTATGAGAGGCAATACCACCTTCCCCCTGTCATTCTAGCCCTTCTATTCCTTTGTTTTTATGCTAAAAGCTGCCTGGAAACAAAATGGTTCATTTCAGGACAAACAATGTTTTGTTCAACTCCAAACAAAATTTGCTGAGTTTTTCAATTTGCCCAAGTTTTTCTGGGAATTTTCAGTTTCTGTTCAACCCTTTATTTCTTCTTTCGAACTACCAGTGAACCAAAAACAGATATCCTCCCTCATCAAATTATCTGAGTGCCTTCATTCCCTTCAGTTATTATTCTATAGTGTAATCTCTCTAAATTAAGTAGCTCTTCAAAAGATTTAAAAAAAAAAATTCTGGGGGCATAGACAGTAGTCAAAGGGAATATGAGCCCACATGAATATAAGCAGCTGTCTATCTCAAATTGCCAGTTTGCCGACTGGACTTTTATATTCAGAGCCTGTGACCTGTCCATGACTTATTATGTACCCCTAACTAAAACTTGGACTGGAGACCAGGGGTGCTTGGGGGGAGGGAGCGGGGAGAGAAACTGTCTGGGACTCCCGCGGGTGCTGGCCCGGAACCCCCACTGGTGATTGCGGGGGGATGGGGGGCATTGGCAGGCTGGCAGGGGCTCCCTACCCAGCTCCGCATGTCCTTGCAGCTCCCAGCTAAAACAAACAATCGCACTGTTAAACAATAGAAAACCATTTATTTAAATATTTTTTGGTATTTTCTACATTTTCAAATATTTTTATTTCAATTACAACACAGAATATAAAGTGTACAGTGCTAACTTTATATTTATTTTTTTAAATATTTGCTTTGTAAAACAAAAAACAGTATTTTTCAATTCACCTAATACAAGTATTGTAGTGCAATCTCTATCATGAAAGTTAAACTTACAAATTAGAATTATGTACAAAAAATAACTGCATTCAAAAATAAAAATGTAAAACTAGATCCTAGAAGGTCCCCTCAGTCCTACTTCTTGTACAGCCAATCACTCAAACAAGTTTGTTTACATTTGCAGGAAATAATGCTGCCCACTTCTTATTTACAATGTCATCTGAAAGTGAGAATGGGGGTGTAGCAAGTTATTTACGTGCCAGATAAAGATTCACATGTCCCTTCATGCTTCAACCACGATTCCAGAGGACGTGTGTCCATGCTGATGACGGGTTCAGCTAGATAACAATCCAAAACAGTGCAGACCGACCCATGTTCATCTTCATCATCTGACTCAGATGCCAGCAGCAAAAGGTTGAGTTTCCTTTTTGGTGGTTCGGGTTCTGTAGTTTCCGCATCAGAGTGTTGCGCTTTTAAGATTTTTGAAAGCGTGCTCCACACTTTGTTCCTCTCAGATTTTGGAAGGCACTTCAGATTCTTAAGCCTTGGGTAGCTGTAGTGATCTTTAGAAATTTCACATTGGTACCTTCTTTGCATTTTGTCAAATCGGAAGTGAAAGTGTTCTTAAAATAAAGAACATGTGCTGGGTCACCATCTGAGACTGCTATAACATGAAATATATGTAAAACAACAGGAAACATACAATTCTACCCCAAGGAGTTCAGCCATAGATTTAATTAATGCATTATTTTTTGAACGAGCGTCGTCAGCATGGAAGCATGTCCTCTGGAATGGTGGCCAAAGCATGAAGAGGTATACAAATGTTTAGCCTATCTGACATGTAAATACCTTGCAATGCCAGCTACAAAAGTAGAATGTGAATGCGTTATCACTTTCAGGTGACGTAAATAAGAAGAGGACAGCATTATCTCCCATAAACGTAAACAAACTTGTTTCTCTTAGTGATTGGCTGAACAAGAAGTAGGACTGAGTGGACTTGCAGGCTCTAAAGTTTAACACAGTTTTGTTTTTTAATGCAGTTATGTAACAAAAAAAATCTACATATGTAAATTGCACTTTCACGATAAAGAGATTATACTACAGTACTTGTATGAGGTGAACTGAAAAATACTATTTCTTTTATCATTTTTACAGTACAAATATTTGTAATAAAAATAAGAGCACTGTACATTCTGTATTCTGTGTTGTAATTGAAATCCATATATTTAAAAATGTAGAAAAATATTTAATACATCTCAATTGGTATTCTACTGTTTAACAGTGTGATTAAAACGGCGATTAATCGCGATTAATTTTTTTAACTATTAAATAACTAATAGAGATCAAAAGAGATGCTAATGTTAGTGTTTTCACTATATATATCCTCTATGTAAGAGCTATAGTATTACATTGCATATACCCCTGTAATTACGTTTACATTATGTATACTCCAGTAATTAGCTAACCCTAGATTAAAGTGTGTGTTAATATAAAAATGTATTCAGGTGTTCAATTAATAAGAGCTAGTGAAATATCCTATTGTTTGCTATTACATACATGCAAATGTTTGTATAACTAACTAAATTACTCAGAGATCGTGTGAAATGCTAATCAAGTACTTAAGGATGGTAACAGGAAATGCTAATTTCAAACTAAGGGTATGTCTATACTTACCTCTGGCTTCGGCGGTAAGCAATCGATCTTCTGGGATCGATTTATCGCGTCTTGTCTAGACGCGATAAATCGATCCCGGAAGTGCTCGCCGTCTACGCCGGTACTCCTGCTCTGTGAGAGGAGTACACGGAGTCGACAGGGGAGCCTGCCTTCCATGTGTGGACCTTTGGTAAGTACCTTTAAGTTCGAACTAAGGTACTTCGACTTCAGCTACGTTATTCACGCAGCTGAAGTTGCATATTTTAGTTCGAACTGGGGGGTTAGTGTGGACCAGCCCTAAGTGGCCATGGAGTGAATAAAAGCCCTTGTCAGATTGTTATCTGTAAAAAGCAGCTGTAAAATTGATTTCAAGAAATGATCCTTTATCTCTGGACTGTTTGGATTCTAACAGGGTAGAATAACTGAAGACGACAGATCCCCAGAATTATTCTGGGCAGCCCTGAAAAGACTTTTGGGAAACTGGCAAAAAACTACATCTCTGCTATCTTTCTGGATTTATGAACTTTGACTCACCTGTTATTCTATCTTATCTGCTTTAACCTCTCAATAACTCATTACTTAAAAAAAAAAAGAAAGCTAATATACCTATAGTTAGTTTACTACAGAATTGGCTGCCAGCAGTGTCTTTGGTGTAAGATCTGACATACCAACTAATTTGGGGTAAGTGACTGATCCTTTGTAATTGGGTAACCTGATGAGGTGTGATTTTTGGTTTATGTAACTATTATCACTAAGTCCAGTTTGTCTGGGTGGCAAGGCTGGAGAGCCCAAGGGGACTGTCTGTGACTCCATGGTAAGACGGGTATAGTGATCCAGGAGTGCATATTTGTAGATTGGTGAAATCTAATTATAGAACATACCACCAGTTTGGAAAGTCTGCCCTTGTTTTCTGACAGTCTGTCCTGAGATAGTCACTCTCAGTGATGAGCCACTCCAGAGAGGTGTCACTCACTGACATTAATAGGTGGCAGGTTTAAATAAAACATAAGGAAGAACTTCTTCACACAACGCACAATCAAGCTGTAGAACTTGTTGCCAGGGGATGTTGTGAAGGCCAAAAGCATAACTGGGTTCAAAAAAGAATTAGATAAGTTCATGGACGACAGGTCCACTAATGGCTATCAGGAAAGATGGTCAGGGATGCAACACCATACTCTGGATATCCCCAAGCCTCAGACTGCTAGAAGCTGGGACTCTAGATGACAGGGGATGGATCACTCGATAATTGCCCCGTTAATTCCCTCTGCAGTATCTGGCACTGGCCACTGTCTGAAGACAGGATACTGGGTTCGATGGACCATTTGTCTGACCCAGTATAGCCAGTCTTATTTTCTTAATTCCAAACAGAGCTATCCAAATTACTTTTGCCAATAATTTTTAGAGTGTAAATATCAGGTATTAAGAACTATAGTATTCCCACTCATGGTTGCTAGGGGTTTAGTAATTCTAATCTATTTTAATCTCTGTAGAAATTAACAGAAGCACCAATGACTAGTCTATTTAGAGTGAAAAGCTTTACTATTGCTCAACAAGTAGCTGAAACTTCTGAACTGTTTAAACCGTAGTATCCAAATTTCCAGCATGATACTAGGGGTCTCAGAAAAACTTCAGAAGGGTGTTCCGAGTCAAATTTTTTTTTTTTTTTTTTAAATTCATCAGTAGAGCACATCTTTCTGGGAATTTAACAGTGGGGGAGTGAAATAAAAAAATTAAATAAATCACGTTCAAATAACTGGTAGGACTGTACCACAAAAATTTTGTTCTGTCTCCCAAACTGGAGCACCAGAATCACTACCTACAATATAAAACTTCATAACACTAATTTTCAAATCTTTTATTTTGAAGGGAAAGTCTGATTATTCATCCTAAGTATTTTAAAACTGTAATCATCAAGTTGTTTAATTGCCACTCCCAGACAACTGCTCAACCACCAACTCACATGGCTAATCAGCTGTGTACATTTTATTTCGGTAAAAATTCTATTTCCATTTAAACTCTCCTTCCCAAACATGAGAAATATTTAAAATTAAATCTGATCTTTTTGCAAAAAACAGAACTTTTATACACTGCAGCAGTCTCACAATCAAGCCCCAGTGACACATGCAAAGAGTAGACTTTAAACACCAATGTCTTTCTTACTATATTTGCAACTTCAAACAGATCAAATTCATTGCACTTAGTGCTATTTGTGACTACTAATGCAAGTTAACAGTTCTCTCACAAAGTAATATTTACCTCTTTAAGGCAGACAGCCTGGATTCAATGGTCTCGTGTTTAATTTGCACCTTCTGAGCACTGCTTATGATTTTAGACAGGTCTTCCTGACGGATTTTATTTTCTTCAGGTCTTGAAGAGGAAACCTTTAAAAGTAAAATAACCCCCTGATGCAATATGAAATTCTGAATGCTAAATGTGATTTCTCTCCTACTACTCAAAAGAAATTGGTATTTATAAAACAGGCTGAATAACCGGCACTAGAAATCATTCTCTTTTATTTATCCTGCAATGTCATCATATATATTTTAATAATTTCTACATAACTGGGCATGTTGAAAGTTAAAATTGTAAAATTACTATATATCTACAGTATTCTCCCTTTTATCATACTTGACTTGTATTTAAAAAAAGTCAAAGGTTTATAAACACAGTTCTATTCTACTCTATAGAGGTTCTTACATAGCACCTTCCAGTATCATATTAAGTGACATACATAACATCCTCTCCCCAGGGGAAGCGCTGCATGGTTTTTTAAAAAGTTAAGTAAACTGTGCTATATATTTATATTAGTGAATGCAAGATCAAAATAGTACGATTTGTAGTTGGAACAACAACAAAAAAAAGGCAACTTTTATAAAAAATTAAGAATACATTTGTTTTGTAATTTTCTCACCCCTTCGGTGGGCTGCTGATTTATTATAATGAATAATAGTTAAGGATAAACAAACAGTGAATGACATAAAAAAACAAAAACAAAAAGGGGGATTACTTGGAAGTGCAATTCATTTCATTTTCTCTTTAAAAGTAAAATCCAAAATTCCTTTATGACTGCAGGCCTCTGTGTCAACAGTAGCCAGTTGTGCCTGACTGACATGCCCACCCTATCTGTTCACAAGACTAACTAAAAGCAGTCAATGCTCCATGTGTTTTGTACGACCTTTCACTCACCTTCCTTTTAATATGCTCCAACAAGTCATCACGGCCCTGCTTAAAGTATGGGTGCTGGAACTCCACAGGACCATCCCGTTCCAATTTGACAATGCCAGAGTCAACATGGACTACTTTACGGAAGCCATCTGAAAAACAGTTTAACCATGAAGAAAAGAAAACACTACAGAATTCAGAACTTTACTGCCGCAACCCCCAAACCCATTTTTAAGGGTTGGGTTAAAAAAAAAAAAGTAGGATATTCTTAAATAGTTTTAAGAAAGATAGCTATGCTAAAAAACTTACACATATTTAGCTGTCTCACAAAGCTCGCCATGTTGTTGTGCTTGAAGTACTTAGGAAGAATCTCTTTTGCAAATCTTTGTTCATCCAACACCAGGAAACTCTGGCCATTCTAAAACGAAGAGCACATCTTGTATTTAATTTTTAAAAATCTGTTTTTATAAAGGGGCACAATAGATACATAACATCTTATGAGAGGATATCCTTTTCCCCACATGACACTACGAACTTTACTATGCAAACTGCTGCATCATGAGTAAGGCTAAGATTTTGTCACAGATATTTTTAATAAAAGTCAGACAGATCACAGGCAAAATAGAAACATTAATGGAAGCCGTGACCTGTCCCTAACTTTTACGTAAAATATCCCTGACAAAATGGGGATCTGTGAATCCCCACACTACTTCAAGTGGGGCAACTGCAGAGACTAGGAGCTGCCTGTAGCAGCTGGGGGTGCGGGGTACCCCTGCAGCCTGCAGTTCCTGGCATCCCCCGCTGCTCACAGGGGCTGAGAGCTCCGGGGGTTCCTGCTGTCTATGGGGGCCAGGAGCTTGGGTTCCTCCACAGCAGCTTGGAGCTGCGCACCACCCGTAGCAGCCCAAAGCAGTAGGGCGCTCTGGGGTTGGTCCTGGCAGAGGTGGCAGGGATACCCACAGCTTCCTGCCCTAGCGGTGGGGAACTCTGCAGCTCCCGACCACCGTAGGCTGAAGTCACGGAGGCCGCTGGAAGTCACGGATTCCAGGACTGCCCACCATCCGTGACTAAATGAGAGCCTTAATCATGACTGCCTCTATGTATATGGATCCACCACTGCTGATAGGACCTGTAGCAGCCTCACACCACTCAAGGACAATGGGGAATACTTAAGATTAATGATAGTACTTAGACCATACAAGTTATGCTTAAAAAAAAAGCAGCTACATATTTGGAAAACTAGTGTAATCTTACCCCTCTGGAGGGAATGGGGGAAGATAGGAACAGGACAAAAGAGGCCAAGGAAAAAGGCGAGGTTTAAATAGTAAACCACAGAAACAGAGGGAGCCAGACAGGAAAAGGTGGAAAGAGAAAAGTCACACAAAACTGGAGAAGTGACTGCATGAGGGAGACCGATCAGCATGCAACAGCCTGCCTGAGGCAGGGAACACCCTGCTTGCCTAGACAGCAATAGTTCCCCAAAAAAGAGCGAGCTAGCAAGACGCACTGTGTTAAGGATGTTTGTTGTTTTCTATTTAATTTGTACTCTCTCATGCTTCATATGATTAAATATAAACTGCAAAAATTACTCCTGAGGGAATTCTGCACCAAAAAAAGTTATAAATTCTGTGCACAATATTTTAAAATTCTGCATATTTTCTTTGTCAAAACAATAATATAATCACCCCAGTTTCAGGTTTTTTGGTAATTTATTTCAAGATACCTGTCAGCGTGTATGTCTGTAACAATACAGACAAAAAGAAAGATTCAGGAAATGGTTTTTTTTGGCAAACAGATTCCTTACAAGGCATGTTAGTACAGAGCTCTAAGTAATTCATTTAAAATACGATACAAAAATATATTTCCTGCACCCCTCAGAAGCAGTGCAAAAGGCCTGGGGGAGTCAGGGGTAATGGAAGAGCTGAGGGAGAGGGAAGGAATCTGGAGGGTGGTTGGAAGTAGTATGGAACAGGGTGGGGTTTTTTGAGGGGGGAGGGAGAAGAGAGATTGTTAGGGAGTCTCCCCCATACAGACCTTGGCTGACCCCTAATCTCTCCCATTCAGCTAGGCACATCTGCCTCTGTCCCTGTGTGGCCCTGCAGCCCCACCTCTAGCTCCTGAGCCCACATCCCAGTTTGTCCCCTCCACTAGCCCCTCTGAACCCCAGTCTGTGACACACACACCCCACCCTCCCCAAGCAACCCCATGTGCCGGTGCTGCCTCTCCTGGCCCCGCTGTAAGGAACACAGCCTCCCCAGCTAGCTGCCCTCTTTTCTGGTCCAACAGGAGCTCCTGGTCGGGGAAAGGTGTAACTGCAGCACCTCTCCAGCAGAATCTATATTCTGCAGAGAAAAAACAATCTGCAGGGGCCCTGAATTCTGCATGTGCACAGAATTGCCCCATGAGTAAAAAAAATGTGTTAGACTTGGGCGAAGTGCCCGAGTGCAATAACTGCATCACAATCACTGTGTGCATCCACAGAGAGAGAGAGAGAGAGAGAGAAAATGGTTACCAGAAGCTTTCACTCCTCTGGCGTGGAGTTCTGGGAGAGGTTGTGTTTAGGTACAGGATTACCACTGAATCCAAGGGGACTAGACAGCTGGCAGTGGGTTCCAGTTCTCAGAAGGAATTGTTGGAGTGCAGGTTTGCCAATGGACTCTGAGATTGGGGCAGTGGCTAGACATCATTAAGGCTCTGGAGGTTAAAACACTTGGTGATCCATGGACACAGAGGCTTGGATTTCCTTTACAGCAGGCCAATGGGTGGCCAGCAACATGTGCCCAGCTGGATCTCTGACACCTGCTGAATATGAATAGAATCTAAAGTGACATCTTCCTGAATGCACAGACAGTTATCTCCATTGTTTCTGCTGTTGCTCATAGCTTCCTCAAGCACAGGAGAACAAATTACTATGATTTATCAGTTGCATTGCTCCAATATGGTTCAGTGTAACTGTATAGAATCCTGTCAGTTTCATTTGCTGCTTGGGAAAGGTCTGGGAAGGAGTGAAGTCTTAGGAACCCTCTTCCTCATAGCAGCCAAGAGGTTCTGGATGGAAAGAAAAGAGACCGAGAACTCTTTCTCCCCTCTAGTAGCTAGAAAAGGGTAGGAATTTCAAGTTTATCAAATACCAGTTAGCCAGAGACTAATGTACAAGATGAAGCTGTTAAGTCCAGGAACAGCAGTTTGGTAGCAATCTCTGCACTCATCATTTCCATGCAGCTGGGTGTGAGGGAGGCTAGTTTTCTCACCAGTACACTGATCCTGAACTTTGATGAAGACTTTGCTGTCACTGTCAGACCTTGTCTATAGTAGAGCATTCAGCTGTTTGTACTTCAAATAACTGTATTGCACCAAGTGATGCACAATGACTGAATACATCCCAACTGATTACCTTAGTTGGTTTATTTTGCCCTTGCATACATCAGGCTTGCCCTCAATTTAAGATGCGGACTGTCATCTTTGACAGATGTCATTGATGAAAGCTCCAGATGACAAGCCTCCACTTCTCAACACAAAAAATCTCTGCAGCCAGGGTCCGTCCTAGCTTAATAGGGAGAATTGAGAGACCATTAGGAATATCATTTACCATATGTGGTTCCTCAGAATGGGATTTACAATTGGCAAATCACGAGAGGTTCCCCATCTAAGAAGTCACAGAGCTCAAATTTGGGGGCACGGCTGAGGGGCAGGGGACACTTTGCAAGGGTATGGCAGAAGGCAAAGCACAGCGTCATCACTGGCAGTGGACCTGAGGAACAGACCATGAGAAGAGACACTCGGGGCAGGAGGGGGTTTGGCTGAAAGGGACAGAGAAAGGACTCTTAGCTGGTGTAACTAAGGAGGTTCACTACCTGAGAGAGCTGTTAAAGATTACACTGACTAACAGGAACGGTGTCTATGGTGGCACTCAATCTGAGAGTCAGCTGATTGAACCACAATTCAGATCTGCCTCTACAAATTCCAGGGTTACTTCCACCAATAGTTGTTCCCCTGAATCATTTAAAGAGCTTTTGATTTGGATGAAAAGCACACTTGAAATGATGGGAACAATTAGTGCTTAGACAGGTAAATTTCTCCTGTGTAGAACAGGCCTTCTTTAGTACCCAGTTGTTAGGTTTCTGGAAAATTTTCCAAATCCCATTGAACCCACTGTACCTCAAAAGAAAAGTGATGCAAATATCAAAGCCTGAAACACAGTATACCAGATTTTATTCTCTACAGATCAGATATCCCTACATCATATCAATGAAAATAGTCAGAACCAGAGGTTAACACAAGTGCAACAATGTTGTTCTTCCATTGTTACAATAAGGGGAACAGGTATCTGTTGAAATTCACAACTATTAGTGCTGTAAAATGTGACATTAAATCAAAGGTCTGACTACTTATATCCCAATGTCTTTTTGATCAAATTCCAAAACTGATCATTAGTTTCTGCTTTGACAAACTGCCCTAAACAGTTACAAATGAACAAATTATTCTTCACTTCCAGGAAAAAATAACTAATGCAGTGTTATCTTACACCAGCTATTGTGTATCCATTTAAGAGACGGAAGTATTGTATGTAATGTTTTAGGGATGAGTCGTACCGCATTTGGAATCCTCCTAGATAAAACATCCATTATGAATGTAAAGTGTCACAACAGTATTTCTGCTAAGAACAGAGGTCCCTAAGTTAAATTAAAACTAAACAACACTGAGTGGTCAGTTAAAGCATTTAGAGAGAGTTTCCATTCTCAAATAAGGGAAACTAATATTAAACAAAAAGCAAATTAACCAAAAAAAAAAAATCAATTCACACCAGGTGGGATCTCCAACTCCTGTTTCTCCTACTGGAAGTTCTGGTGGAGACGATCGGTGATTCATATAATACCACAGCAAACTATATACTAAAAATCAACATTGTTTAAAGATGTTTCTGACACAGTACAAGTGCCTACAGCGCTCTATCGTGAATAGGACTTGTATCTCAGTGGGAAATGACACCGTAATACTTCAGAGAGGGCCCATATAACTAGGACTAGCTGGATCAGCTTCCCTTTCAGAAAGCACTGGAAAGTTTGAGGCCTGGTCTACACTACATGGTTAGGTCGATGCAAGGCAGCTTACATCAACCTAGTTGTGCACGTGTCTATGCTCAAATTGCTCTCCCACCACTGTAAATTCCCCATTACGCCGACATAGTAACACCACCTCCATGTACAGACATGATTGATATACTTAGGTTGGTGGGAATGCAGACTCTGCATTACTTATTTCAACCCTAACTGTCCTCCAACAACTGTCCCACAACTGACCTCTCTGGACACCATTTTTAATTCCTCCGGCCAGGGGTTACAGAGACCAGAAGCCCCCCTTCTAAAGCCCTGCAAGTTTTCGAAATTCCTTTTCCTGATTGCCCAGCTTGGCGAGCACACCTAGCAGCTCTCCATAGTTAAGTGCAACTGCTCAGCTGAACACGCCAGCTGCATGCTCCAGACACACTTCCACCTGGAGAAGACAGGAAATATTGGCTCTCCTGGGCCTGTGGAAAGAAAAGGCTGTGCAGGCACAGCTCCAATCCAGCCTTAGAAAATTCAACATGTACAAGCAGATTGTTCAGGGGATGCAGAAGGGCTACAAGAACAAGCAGCAGTGCCACTGCTCCTTGCTTTTCATGTGGCAGGCATAGCAGACAGCCGGGGAGGGCAACAAATGATCCAGTGGCAAGCCGCAAACCTGCCGCTTTTGCGAAGAGTGGCATGCCATAATCAGCGCAGACGCCCCCCCCCCAAAATCCAACCCCAGCAGAACTGAGTATACCTCCGAGAAGCCCAAGTCACAAGCCCCAGCTGTGAACAGCAAGGAGGTGGTATATGGGGGACAGGTGACTGAGGGACTCAGCTGTGCAGCAAACCAGGACCGGTTTTTGACTTCACCACAGTTCAGCCAGCAAGCCCGATGCAGGGGAAGGAACTTCAGGTAAATGTGTAGATACATTTTCAATTTCAGGGATGGCACCCCCCAAAGTAGCAGGACATAATCTTTTGATTTTCCATTAATTTATTCATGCTACGAGAGCTAGTGCTACAACCGAGCGCTAGAGCTGCTATCTACTTTTCATTGCCCTCTAGACAGGGAGAGGGGATGCTGAGCAATTTACGTAGTGTAAAAATATCATTAGGAAGGCCAAGAAGAATTTGAAAAAAAACAGCTAGGCAAAGACTCAAAAATTAATAGCATTTTTTTTTAAAGTACTTCAGAAGCAGGAAGCCTGCTAAACAACCAGTGGGGCCACTGGACGATCAAGATGCTAAAGGAACACTCAAGGATGGTAAGGCCATTGCGGGGAAACTAAATGAATTCTTTGCCTCTGTCTTCCTGGCTGAGGTTGTGAGGGAGATTCCCAAACCTGAGCCATTTGTCACCTAAAAAGAATCTGAGGACTTGTCTTAGATTGAGGTGTCATTACTGGAGGTTTTGGGTGAATACGATCTGTTCCAAAGAGTTCTGTAGGAACTCATATGTGAAATTAGAGAACTACTAACTGTAGTTTGTAACCATTCAAATTGGCTTCTGTACCAGATGACTGGAGGATAGCCAATGTGAGGCCAATTTTTAAAGAGGGCTCCAGAGGTGATCCCAGCAATTACAGGCCGTTAAGCCTGACTTCAGTACTGGGCAAACTGGCTGAAACTAAAGTAAAGGACAGAATTGTCAGTCACATAGATGAACATAATTTGTTGGGGACTAGTCAAGGGAAATAATGCCTCACCAATCTGCTAGAATTCTTTGAGGGGGTCAACAAGCATGTGGACAAGGGGGAATCCAGTGGATGTAGTATACTTAGATTTTCAGAAAGCCTTTGACAAGGCCCCTCACCAAAGGCTCTTAGGCAAAGTAAGATGTCACAGGAAAAGAAGGAAGGTCCTCTCATGGATCAGGACCTGGTTAAAAGAGAGGAAACAAAGGGTAGGAATAAATGCTCAATTTTCAGAATGGAGAGAGGTAAATAGTGGTGTCCCCCAGGGGTCGGTACTACTCAACATTTTCATAAATGATCTGGAAAAAAGGGGTAAACAGTGAGGTAGCAAAATTTGCAGATGACATAACTATCTTGAGTAGTTTTAAGTCCAAAGTAGACTGTGAAGAGCTACAAAAGGATCTCTCAGAACTGGGTGACTGGGCAACAAAATGGCAGATAAAATTCAATGTTGATAAATGCAAAGTAATGCACATTGGAAAACAATCCCAACTATACATACAAAATGATGGGGTCTAAATTAGCTGTTATAACTCAAGAAAGATCTTGGAGTCATTGAGTCTAGCTCTCTGAAAACATCCACTCAATGCGCAGCAGCAGTCAAAAAAGCTTACAATATTGGGGATCATTAAGAAAGGGATAGACAGAAAATATATTGCCTACATAGAAATCCATGGTACGTCCACATCTGCAGATGTGGGCGCCCCCATCTCAAAAAAAAAGTATTTGGAATTGGAAAAGGTTCAGAAAAGGGCAACAAAAACTATTAGGGGTATGGAATGGCTTCCATAGGAAGAGAGACTAATAAGACTGGGAATTTTCAGCTTGGAAAAGGGATGACTAAGGTGTGTGTGTGGGGTGGGGGGGGGGGGGTAGATATGATAGAGGTCTATAAAATCATGACTGGGGTGGCATTAAGTGCCATTGCCCTATACTACTGGAATCATGCAACCGAGCAATTCCCTTATTTCCCTTCTCCCAGTGGGCCATACTCACCACAGCTGGGGCAGTGACTGATGCTCCCCATCTATTTTAAACACTACATTCTCACTTCTGCTTGGGATTGCTTGTGGACAGCAAGGGGAGTAATTTAAGATTCTGAAGTCTTGCTTTCTGTAGTGAAATGGTACCTATGTGTGTTTTACGTTCAGCTGCTGCCATTGTAGCATTCGGGGTCTGCCCCTCCACACCCACAGAACACTCGAGCCAGACAAAGAGAAAAAAGAAGACTACTTGGGATAATATGTTCCAGGAGATCCTGCCAGCCAGCGCTGCATAGGACCATGAGCACAGGGTCTGAAGGAGGAACACTGCAGACAGACTGGAGAAGGAAAGAGCAGAGAGGAGAAAGGCCCAAGAGTCCAAGCAGGAAAAGGAGAGGGAGATGCACCAGCATATAATGGGGCTTCTCAGGCAATCAGCACAGATGCTGCAGTCTGGTAGACCTGCAGGTTCAATAATCCTGAGCTTACCTTCCTCTGCAGACCACTGAGAACTCAATATCAGAACCTCCCTACACTGCCCGCCCACCATGCATCATTCCATGTGGCTGCAGTACCCCTACTACTCCACCCTGGGGGATGTTACAGACAATCTCAGTTTGACCCACACAGACTTGTGAAAGCCATGGTTGATGTATGCATAGCTGAAATGGACATGAAAATTCTTTCCCCTTCATAATTTCTGTTCTTAATGTATTAAGTTTTTAATATACTGTATTTATTTTAAAATTGCACAGGGTTTTTTTTGCACTGATCGTTACAGAACAAAAAATTAAGTATTTCCAAACAATATCAGAGGGG